TCGTGGCGCGCCGAGTATAAACAAATAAGACTTGAATCATATACATATGGTATAAAAATATTGTATATACTTCGCATTATACATTACTTTTATATGCAACAATATGATAAGTGAAATTGAATACTATTACGTGTTAAAAAAGATAAGCCGAAAAATGCAGCAGTTGCTAAAAATGTTTATAAAAACAAGAAGGGTTGGAAATGGAGCGCAAGACGTTTACAGATTGTTCAGTCATTCTATTTTGCGATCTTTTAGTCCAGTCACAACCTTAGTTTTGGCTTTACTGGTTACAAAGAAATAAGCAAAGGATATAGTAGCTGAAGAATTTCCTGAAAAATGTCGATAACTTAGCTCTGGCTGGATCCCACAATTTCCCCTATTCATACCTTTTTCCAGAAGGCTTCAGAAATATACCGACCCACTTGGGTCATAGAACAATGCTAAATAAGTTTAAACGAAGCGTGCTGCACCATGTGCAGCACGCGGCCATACAGAGACAAACGAGCGTGCTGCACATGGTGCAGCACGCGGTACGCAATGGGTCAAATATGAAATACTGCAGCAGATATGATCTATTTTTAGCTGCACTTCCCGCGACTGCAGTGAGGAGCTTATGGAGTTCAAAGAGAAGTGCAGGCGAGACCGACGACGAAGACCATGGGCGAGAGAGCACAACGGTATTACCACGGGCAACCTTGGTCGACTAGGCCTATTGAGCGCACATGGGCTTGACTTGATCTTCTTACGCGTTGCTCGACAGTTTTGAAGCTTTGAAAATAGTACAGCCTCTGTGATCGCATACTGAGCCATCTTGTACGTGTAAGAGGTTCTAGCCTTACTTTATCGCGGCCCGTGCCTCTGAGCATGGGGCGGAATTGATGTAGCGGCAAGTGGCCCGCATCCCAGGAGCGCTGCGGAGGTGAAGCCACGGTTGGATTCCGCACGGGCCAATCAAGCCTGCTACCCTTGGAGTGGGGTAAATTGGTACCAGATTCGTCTGCGGGGATATAAACACGAACTTATATCATTGGCTGGCCCCGCAAGTTATTGTGTAGTTCTTATGATATTCAATAAGTGAGTGCGATCCTTAATGGTAGTAGAACGCGTGTCGCATCCCAAAAATATTAAAGGCAGTTGGCGTGATAAATCGCTAAAGACGACAGGATC